CATGAATGTATAAGAAATAACCTATATTTTTTATTCTAAAATTTTTGCAAAATTGCATTAAATACATATCTAATATTCTCATGATTGCTAGATGCAAAATTATGCAAAATTATTTATTGAAAATACTATATCGCTTTTTATTGTTAATTATTGTCAATGATATCCACAAGTTTCACCCACTATTATTTAATGTCGATTTACATTGGCTTGCATTGTTTTTTTATTTCGATTTAATATTATTTTTTATTTTCGATAATTAAACGCAAGTACCGTGAAAAAATTTTAAACAAAAATGTTAGATATACAAGGTGTATCGTAAATGTTTATGTTTGCTAGTCTATTTTTCTAAAACTGATTTCTATAATACCTTTATATAAAATAAATTATCTAGTATTAGTCTACACATATCAAAAGGAACATGATACAAATCAATAAATAGAGTTCTATATAATAAATATAATGTATACATTTAATGATTTTTTAAAAATACGAAGATATATAAAAAACAATAAATACAATAAAATAAAAATATATAATAAAATATAAAAATTAAGAACATAAAAAAATGATTTATGTAAGTTATTATGTTATGAATTGTGGATTTTTAGATTCAGAATGGGATTATCTCATAAAATGAGATCAATTCCGTGAACACATCCGTCAACATAATTAAATCGATTTATGAAAACCTGAATTCAAGACAGTGTTTTCTTCTTTAAGAGAATAAATACTTGGCTTTTATAAAATAATGAAGAAGAAATCAATTTAAATTTAAGAAAATTTAGTGTTATTAATTAATAATAATTTAATTTTATATAAGTATAATTTATTGACAATGGTATTAGTACAAAATATTTTACAATTATTTAACTGTACAATATTTTATTATATAGTTATACAATATTTTTTTAATAAATCAACTTAGATATAAAATGTAAAGCATAAATAATTTAAGAAACATAATTAAGAAAATGAAGTTTCAAGGATGTAAATAAAAAAAATCTTAATTTTCTAATAATTATGGATATTTTTAAAATACGAACTAGAATCAGAATTAGTATATTAGTATTTAATTATTATTTAATTTCAAAACATCGAATATTATTTATGAAATAGATACAGGAAAATAAAAGTATACAGAAAAAAATCATTTCAATTTTTATCATGTAATTTTTATCTAATATTATTATATATTAGTACCAATGTACTATACTCTATAAATTTAATTTACTCAAATTTAATTTAATCAAAAGAATCTTGAAGCTTTTCGCTTTCACTTCGTATTGACTTAATATCCTAAAAGTAAACACCATTAGTTTGATGAAAAATAGCTTGAGTAAATGGAACCGACGAGACGGATATTAAGGAATTTTCAATGACCTCTTTCAATGGCTTTAATATCATTTGTTTCTATTCAAGACTTTATCGAGAGCCTACTTAAACTTATTATAAATTCAAGTTACATAAGCATTGATCTATATTCGATTTATCTAATAAATTAATTAATTACTTACTGCCGGCTTTAAATTTTTTGAAAATAAGTTGATATGGATAGTGTAATAAATTAAATAAGTTAATATAATTTGATTTGTAAATTAAACATTCTTGTAAATTAAATATTCGCTGATATTGATAGCATATTAATGTTTAATAAATTGTACCATAATGCGCGAAATAAAATGCGCTAATATAGTTAATTGTCTATTATGAGACGCTGTCTCAAAACTTTACAGTATTTTAGCATAAATATGATAGAAAGCGCCAAGGATCGGTCAAAGTTAGATATTTCGAATAATATAGTATTTTTGGATTTATGAATTTAATTTATTTCCAATGTGACTGTGCGCCGAAACGTTCAGACTGGAGGAATTATACGCGAATGACCGAATGTTTCGGTTCACGATTATTATCTCAGATTGATTGTGTTTAAATGCTCGAACATTTCAGCGCACAATCACATCGGAGAGATAAATTAAATTCATGAATCCAAGAATATTATATTATTCGAAACATCTAATTTTGATCGATCCTTGGTGCATTCTACCATATTTATATTATACATTTACAATGTTTTGCTTAACCTTGTTGTTCTTTCTTTGAAGGACAAGTTTAATTAAAGTCATGTCATATAATGGTCATAACATCGAAATATCCTTACATATGTGATTGAGAATCGGTGATGCTATGAGATGACAATGAGCGTTCTCCAATAATCAGGATTACTGATCGATCAAATTTCGAGTCATCGAAGAAAAGTATTAAAAGAGGAGACAAGAAACTTGCGAAAAAAAAAATACTTTCTCTTTGAAATGTTTGTAAAGTACAATTTTAGATTGCATTTACATATCAATTGAAAAATAATTTTTAGAATTTTTCACTAATTATCATGCAAAAATTATTCTAATTTTTGTCAAAGAAAATCATGAACATTATATAAGACTTTGATATAAGTTTTATATAATTAATATTTACAATAAGTTTTACAATATCTATGTTTTTGTTTTAATTATTTAGCTTTATTATTAAAGTAGCTAGAAGAATATATAAATATTTAGGGCTGCAACATATTATATATTCAATATTATGTCTAATTTTAAATGATAAAACTGTATACATACGTTTATATATACATAATAATGTAATAAAATAATCTAACGTTATAATGTAAAAAAATACATATACATAAAGTTAAATACATATGCATAAAGTTATTACATAATGCATACATATACTCATCAACTAAAAGGTTATAACTTTTCTTTTAATGTTTTTCAGAATGAGCAGTTTGCTCGCTGAGCAAGTTGATTCTTACTTATGGATTCATAAGTAAAAATCAATTGCTCAGTGAAGGACATTCTGAAACCCATCGAAAAAAGTGTCGAAATCTTTTTGTGATCAGCTGTTTTCGATATAAGAAACTAGGGTTGCGTTAGGGAATACACACCGAGTGATTTCAGTATTAATTCATCCTTATTTAATTTTCGGTAAATAACAAAAATAAATAAGGAATAATATTTGGAGGCACTCGAGGTTTATTCATGTCGCATGCTCTAACATGCTCTAAAATGCTCCTACCATAGCATTTACTTACTCTCGTTGAAGTGAGTAGAGCTATAGTAGAAGAACATTAGAGCAAGCCGGAGCATATAACGCGAACAAACCTTCGGTGTGTACGAACGCAGCTTAATTGTTTTCGAGTTGGAGCTTGTCGATCGATCAGTCAGTTCTCTTGTTATCCTCGAAGTTTGACGTTGGTGTTCAAAGTAACGAATTATCAATATATATTTTACCAAAATACCGAAAAATGTTGTGCGTATTATTTGTGCGTATTCCTGGTATGTCTTGATAATATTAGAAAAAAATCTGATATCTTGTGAGTTTTAATAAATTATTAGACATAGTCTACTCCTAATAGTATAATAATAAAGTAGCAATATATTACTATTATATACTATATTATATACTATTATATACTATATATACTATATTACTATAATGTAACTATGATAAATCATAATTATATTATTTTAAATAAGTGATAGTATTATTTTTTATTTAGAACTGACTAATGCAATAGTAAACTCTGTCTAATATAAGACGAAATGTCTTTTTATATCTTTTTTCTTGAAAGATATTGTAGTTATGAGTATAATACGAATATTGTAATTACGTACATTTGTTATATGCTATATTTGTAATGTACAATTAGAGATTATAATTATTTATATGGTAAAGGGGCGATTTTCATGCACGGAAGGACACTCTAGTAAAATGCTCAATGCAGTTAATTGTAAATTAAAGGTATATAATAAAATATTGTATAAACTTTTAAAGATTTTATCAGAAATAAAAAATAGGACAAAAATAATTTTATCAAAAATTATATACAATTTAAAAACTATATGTTTGGTTTATGAAGTGTGTAAAAATTCTAACCTCTTAAAACTTTACTACATTTCGAGCATTGATGACAAGTGTTTTACTGTACTGTTATCATCTCTTACAAATTAGCATGCCAAGAATGTTCGAATTCTTATTTTTATTAGAAGCTTTTTTCACGGTTATTTTGTTTTAAAATAATTTTGTTTTACAAAATATAATTAAATACTTTTTCAATATTTGAATAATTTTAAATAGTTATGAGAAATATTTATTTTTGTATCTATTTTTAATATTTTCGTTTAATAAAACGTAACATATGCTGCTAATATATTAATCATAAAATCGTTAATTCGTAAGTGCTAACATCTTACAATGCTCGGCATATATTAGATCGGGAATATTTTTGCAGATTGCACCTGTTATTGTTAAATTAGCGTGGATAATGTTTCCACGGTTATGCTAGACTGAGATTTACGTAACATGTTAACGAGATGTAACCTTGCCGTAATTCACATAAATTCATGCACATTTAAAGATATATTTATCGATTTTCTTCTGATTGATTACAATTTGGACAGAATGATACTGTAGTATACCAGATGTTCTGTGATCTTAAGATAATTCAATTTCAATATCGGTAATTGAAAATTAATGGTTATGGAATACCAATGTACACTAGCATGCAGTGTGAATGCATTATTTAATGAAGTTAACAATTTCATATGACGAAGGATAAAATAATTCTAGAATAAATGATCTTTTTTAATTACAAATTTTAAAGAATATCTAAAAATAGATAATCTTATCGCGACGCAAACTGAGTGGGATTATCAGCGATCAATATGTAATATCCTAGAACATGTATTCTTCTCGCTTTTATTTCATAGAATAAAATCGTATTCGAATAACATAAAATCATCAAAAGAAAGAAGTATAAACAAAAATCCTGAAAATTCTAAAAATCCTGAGGTTGATCTTTTAAATAAATTTGAAAGTGCTTTATGAAATGTTATTTAAAAAAATATATTAAGTGACACGTAATCTTGTTCATGTTTTAGATCTGAAGGAAATTGTTCTGCAGCATGAAGCAATCTAAAATTTTGATTTGTTATGTTTAGGTTTGCATGTACTGTGTACAACAATATCACGAACAATAAATCGAATCTACGAGTATTGGTGAATCTCGTAAAAATTACTTGCAATGCAGAATAGCAATTGAATCGATTCGTGTGCCGAAGGATCAACGGTGATCCCTGGATGTTTCTAAATTGCAAGGCATTCAAATAGAATACGTCCTTGAGAATGTCGTCGTATGAGGAAAAGATAACGACAGTAATATGTCCCAAGGCAGAGACAGATTGTAACATAACGCTAAAGAGGAATCGGTTGGCAAACGATGAGCCGGCGAAAAATCATACAGCAACGACTCAAAACGATGAGTTGACTGAGATTAAATACGTACCGAGGATAAAGTGGCTGGATCTTAGCGCGCAACTTTTCATACACGGCGGATGTCTTTACGGGCTATATTTGGTGCTCACACAAGCGAAATTGCTTACTTCGCTATGGGGTAAGACAAATATTTTTGTAATCCATATATATTTACTCTATCGTCAATTGTAATTTTTTATTTTAACATTCTAATAGAAATTTTTATTAAAAAAAAAATTTCATACTTGAAAGGAAATGACGAAGGATAAAATAATTCTAGAATAAATGATCTTTTTTAATAACAAATTTTAAAGAATACCTAAAAATAGATAATCTTATCGCGACGCAAACTGAGTGGGATTATCAGTGATATGTAATATCCTAGAACATGTATTCTTCTCGCTTTTATTTCATAGAATAAAATCGTGTTCGAATAACGTAGAATCATCAAAAGAAAGAAGTAAAAAAAAGTATTTTTTACATATGTCGCTGTGCGATAATATTTTTAATTTTAATATAAATATCTTTTTACAAATCTTTAATACAGTATACATTTAAATTAGTCATTTTCGTGCTTTGAGATACCGAATATAGTTCCGTTGTCACTTATCAGATAGATGGAAATAAACTTACATAATCTGAGTATACAGCGAATGCTTATTTGATTTTGTAATTTAATTAAAGTATTTGAATTTATATGTTAACTAATACTTTTTTTTGTGATACAAAATAAATAATGACTAATACTATTATTATTTATTACATTTCATCTTTAATTCTACAGTGTAATTAATCTTTATTTCATTTTAATTTTATTTCATTTTATTTTATTTTAACAGAAGCATAATTTAAACTTAACATGTGCACGCACACACACGCATACACGCACGCACACGCACGCACACGCACGTACACACACACACACACA